AATATTTAAAATTTGACATAAATTCCAAAATTTATAATATAACAAGTTAATTGCTTGTTTAGTTATAAAATTTTTACATTTCTATTTTATTGAAGATTTAGAAATTCCCATTTGGTAGATTTTAATTTTTAAATATAAAAAATTTAATTCATTAGTGTATATAAATTCAAATTTTATTAAAAATATAAAATTTATTATTTAATAAACTTTTAATTCATTGAAATTAAAACTCGTCATTGATTTTTTTAAGCTCAATTTCTCTCCCCCGGATGAACCATATAGTCAGGAGAAACCATGAACCAGAATAGAAGAACTTTCCCTACCCATGAGTAAATATTTCATAGTAGCCTCGTTAGATCGTATATCTTTCTTGGTATATCCAGATAATAAGTAAGAGCATAAATTGAAACATTCTGAAGTTACAAAGATAATTATTAAATCGTTAACACTGCATAAAAATATTCTTTTTTGAATAACTGTTAATATGAATAACAGAAACTCTGTTATAACTATTTTTGTACATTCAATGTACTTTACGGATAGAGAAATACAGAGAGTTGAACATAGTAAAATAAGAAATTGTTCATTTAGATAATTAGCGGGCTTTAATTTATCAAAATTGAAAATTTAATTGATTAGTGTATAGGAATTAAAATCACATAGAGAAGTTATCACTTGGTGTGGGCTTTGTTTCATGTGGTGTTTTTAATGGTGATTATCTGCCACAGAGTGGATAGCATGCTCACAGGCTCATGCCACAACCACCATCAAAAATGGCAGCAAGCTTTTCTTACTCACCAACTCCACCACCATCAACCCACATTTCCAAATTCACCCCTCTGCAGCCTCAGCTCATCTACACGCTCGACAAACACTGCACCACTATGAAAGACCTCAAAAAGATCCATGCCCATCTCATCAAAACTGGTTTAGTCAACCACATCTTCGCTGCTAGTCGCATCTTGGCTTTCTGCACCTCCCCGGCCGGTGACATTAACTATGCTTACTTGTTCTTTACCCGAATCTCAAACCCTAATCTATTTACTTGGAACACTATCATTAGAGGCTTCTCACGAAGCTCAACTCCACAATACGCCATTTTTCTTTTCATTCGAATGCTGTTCTTTTCAACTATAGAGCCACATAGGTTAACTTACCCTTCAGTTTTTAAGGCTTATGCTCAGCTTGGCTTAGCCCGTGAAGGCGCTCAGCTTCATGGAAGAGTTATAAAAATGGGTCTTGAATTTGATCAGTTCATACGGAATACTATCTTGTTTATGTATGCTACTTGTGGGTATTTGAATGAAGCATGGAGAATTTTTGATGAAGATATGGAATCTGATGTCGTTGCGTGGAATTCAATGATTATGGGTCTTGCTAAGCGTGGGGAGGTTGATGAATCGAGGAGGCTGTTTGGTAAAATGCCACAAAGAAATGGAGTTTCATGGAGTTGTATGATTAGTGGGTATGTAAGGAATGGGAAGTATAAGGAGGCTTTAGAGCTTTTTCAAGAAATGCAAGAGAGGGAGATTAAACCTAGTGAATTTACAATGGTGAGCTTATTAAATTCTTGTGCTTCCTTGTCTGCACTCAGACAAGGAAAATGGGTTCATGAGTATTTAACAAAGAACAATTTTGAGTTGAATGGTATTGTTGTTACTGCAATTATAGACATGTATTGCAAGTGTGGTTGTGTTAAAATGGCTTCACAAGTTTTTAACAGTGTGCCTAAAAAGCCATTATCATGTTGGAACTCCATGATTTTGGGCTTAGCTAACAATGGTTGTGAGGAAGAAGCAATAGAATTATTCTCCAGGCTAGAGTCTTGTAATCTAAAACCAGATGATGTCAGTTTTATTGGTGTGCTTACAGCTTGCAATCACTCAAAGATGGTGGATAAAGCAAAGGAGTATTTCTCATTAATGGTAGGAAGATTTAACATCAAACCATCAATGAAGCACTACAATTGTATGGTTGATGTGCTGGGCAGAGCTGGATTTCTTACAGAAGCAGAAGAATTTATAACAAGTATGCCTATAAAGCCAGATGCTATTATATTGAGTTCTTTGCTCTCTGCTTGTAGACAGCACGGAGACATTGAGATGGCTAAACGGGTGTCTGAGTATATAATTGAGTCGGATCCAAATGAAGAATGCGGTCATGTGCTCATGTCTAATATTTATGCTACTACCAGCCAATTCGATGAAGCAATTGAGCAAAGGGTTTTGATGAAGGAAAAGCAAATAGAAAAAGAACCAGGGTGTAGTTTGATTGAAGTTGATGGTGAAGTTCATGAGTTTGTATCTGGTGGAATGCGAAATCCGAAAGCTAAGGAGATATATCTTTTATTGAATGATATTGAAATGAAAAGGGTGTGATCTGCAGAATTCTTCTTGATTCGGTTCCTCAAGCAAAATTATGTGGTCTGGATGTTAAATCCTTTGAGGTCAGGCTCTTTATTTTCCAGCTCCAAAAAAAGATACTCGATATGCATCTATCATCATATATTTTTGCCAACGAAAACAAAGTCAGATCAAACCGGAAAACATGAGGTTCGAACAAGGACTACATATAACCTATTGAGCCAAAGTTGATCAGCTGACTTCAGACATACTGCTCTTATAATCTCAAGTATAAAGTTATTGATAGTATGCTTCATATTAGTTTGTATATATATATTTGAAATCTCCACTATCAAGTTATAAGTGCAATTACAGCAAAATTAAGCTGTGTTGTTTGAAGATAGAAATGAAGCTACATCAACAATGATCTTTCAAGTAAGACGAAATAGGACAGATTGGCAATCACCAAACTAAGTTTTTGACATAGTTCGGGGCGGTGCCCAAGAGTATATCTCAGGAGGCATATTTCCATTAGTGATCAAGTTCTGTGGCATGCCATAGAGTTCTGGGATATCCAGGTGATGGTGACGACCATTCTGGTAATGCTGGTTCTGCAAAGTTGCAGCAACTTCATCATCATCTAGAGGAAGACGATCAAAGGTAGCATTCATGAATGAAGCAGCCATGATGACAACAGGACCAGAAGCAATGGGTGCACCCACCACACCTCCACCCACAACCTGTCCTTGAGCACCAGCCAAATAAATGGTTAGCCCGGTGATTCCTGGTGGAGCAGGAGGAGGTAAGACCGATCCAAGTAAAGAAAGGATTTCAAAACGGCCATGAAGGGTCACAATTGCCCCAGATGAAGCTGGTTGTCGAAGAGTAACATTGGTCACACACCCATTTCCGCTAAGTATGCAGATTCCCCTTTGCTTCCTTCTTGCAAAGCTTGCTAAACTCTCACAAACATCACAACCAGAACCAACCTCCATAGCATGTGCTCTAAGAGTGTTGGGACTGTCACGAGTTACAATAATAGGAGGCTTTGGCTTGTTTTTAGACCCGGCTGGCCTCCCCCGAGGCCGCCTAGCTGTTTCACCCTCTGTTGGTTGCACCACCTTTGACAACTTGGGAGCCATCAGCATTGCATCAATATTTGTTGTCCTGTGATTACTACCCTTCTCAAATTCTTGGCTTCTATTCAGACTAGTTTTGGACACAACACCAGGGGTACCTCCTGCCATTCTTGTCCTTGTTCTCAATGCCTAAAAATCCGTTTGAACAGCATCCAGTGAGATGGTTTAAGTAATGGATTGTTGTAAATAATTTTACTCTCCAAACTCAAAAGAATGATTGGGGTGTATAGGTGGTGATTAAGTGGTACCAACCTTATAATTTACATTCTTCTTTTTGCCTACTTCCCATCTGACACCTCATGTTAATTGCCCCCCTTAACAGATACCCATATAGCATATAAATATTCTCCCAACATATTTAGAGTTTGTGGAGCAGAGGCCACCACCACACACCATATTTTATAAGTTCAAATAATAGGGTTAAAACATTGATTAACTGTAAAAGCCTAATAATAAGAAATGGATGCATTCCACTAAGTTGATTTTTTTTGTTCCTTCTATTAAATTCTCCACTGTCCAGTCAAAAGCCCCTTGCACAATGAACAAACTAGTTAGCAAGCTACCTATCTAACCCTAACCACAGAGATCAGGCTACAGGGACACGGCAAACACAATTTTGGAGTATGTACAATGGGACATTGGCAATCCTCGAAAGGAAATATTTGATGAAACTCTAATTAACACCTAATTCCCCACTATCAAACTCACTACAATACCTGCTGAAAAAAATACAGGAAAAAAGAACTGCATCATCATGGTGTTAGTAGCCGGGCCGCCAAATCTGATTTGTCGATTGCACACTTGAAGGACCTTGAGATCCACTTAGACTCAAATCACTGAGGCTTTGCAGCTGCTGTTCTCTTGTAATCCTCAATTCTGTATTATAAATATTTGGATACCCCAAACCTCCATACTGTTGTGGGGGCTGCTGATTCTGTCGGTATCTAGCGTGCTGTTGATTCTGTCCCAGTATGTTGTAGTAGCCACTGTCTGGAACAGCTGACATTGTTCTTGAACTAGGCCCATAGTTCCAAGTTGCACTACTATCATTCTGTTAAGACAAGAATATACTCAAAAGGATGAACAAATAAAGGCTACAACAACAAGAAGATCAATTAAGAAGAGGGACAATAACATTAAGCTTGAAGATATCTGGTTTGGCATGCACATACTAAATATAATACCGTCATCATTCTTTTTGTATTGATCACACATTTAACAAAGAACAGAGGTAAATAGCAATACATTGGTACAAATTACCTGACGTAAGATGGGATTCTGGCCACTTTATACTGTGCACGCAAAACACATCATAGGCACCGCCTGAAGC